TTATATTCTTAGACATAATTGCCAAAATTAAAGAATAAAAACTGGAAAAGTACTTGGATATTAAAATGGAAGATGGTGGTGGTGGTGGCTGGAGGAAACATCGTTGATATGTTGTACTATATAGTTTCTTAATTTCTATTAGATAGTTTGCATAACGATTCCTGTTAACTATATCAATGAAATACTCAAGATACAACCTGAACTTAAATATTGAATGATTTTTTCTGGTTAGTGTTTTTTAGCGAGTTAGTTTTCTACGGGGTAGGGTTGCTAACTCGATGCCCAACCCTCCTGCTTTATCTGAGCTTGTGACTGACAGTAGCCCTAAAAGGGCTATATGATGAACATTATTGTTACTGGTTATCTTCAAGACTGTAGTTGATATATATTGATTTACATTACGAACTGAAATGAGTTATAATGCCATGACTCTTTTTATCCAAATGGATGAGTGAATTTCGTGCCAAAATCCGAGACCTGTTACCTTATACCTGATTGGTTCGTCCATAAACTATAGTCTCGCCCCCTCCATCCAACTTTGTCCTTGACAATCCTCTCCAGTTGTTTTCAATCGCTATTCAGTCTTTTCATGTCTGCTTCAAATTCTCGACGTAGTGTGTTTTCTTTGACATTCCTCCTTTTTGTTTTCCTTCAAGATTTCAAGTTAGAACTTACCCTGTGATGCAGTTTGATGATTTCCTCAAAGCATGTCCCACACATTTCTAACGTCTTTTCTTAATTTCCTCTTCAGTTGAAAGCTTGTTTGTTCTCTGTTGCTGATGGTATCCAGTTAACGGACATTCAGTATCTTGTGTAGACAAGTGTTTATAAATGCTTGTCCAGTTTTGATTATAGTTGTAGTTCTTCAAGTTTCAGCTCCATATAATAGGGCTGTCTTAACGTTCGTACTGAAGATTTTGACTTTGATATTGGCTTGAAGACAGTTTTAAGTTCTATATATTCTCCAACTGTATGAATGCTATCCTTACTTTGCCAGTCCTCGCCTTTACATCTACATTCGATCCTCGTTGTTCATCAATGATACTAACCAAGTACGTGAAGATTTCCGCCTCTTCTAGAGTTTCTCCATAAAATGTAATTGTGTTGATGTTCTCTACGTTGTATTTTATAGTCTTGAATTTCCTCGTTATATATGTTGAGGCCTACTGATGGATGTAAAAGCTTCTGATACATTGATTATCTTGATCTGTATTTTGTTGATGTGTATGATATAGAAAATCTAAGTCATTTACAATGTCCAAATTGTCTAATTACATCCAATCTGTCTATTGTATTGTGTACAAAAGGAAACTAACATAATATAAACTATGAATATACATTTACAAAAGAATCTACAATAGTTGTTTTCTTTTCATTATTATGATTGTTATTCTTATCATGATTAATAAGGTCAATTTAAGTAGTATATATATATATATATATGGTTTATCTATCCTACCTTACTGTTTTCTAGAAAACAGCATATAGTACAAAGTGTTGTTGTTGTTGTTGTTTTTCCTTCTTGATTGTCAACAAGTATTGTAAATAACTTTACCGGTACAGAATCATTTTGATCAAATAAATGATCATGTTCATTATTTTACATAAACAAAACATGATTATTGTTGATTCATTTGAATTGTCAATAGAATAAAAATAACAAACAATGATCAATGTTAAACAACTATCAAGAAGGTTAAAAGAAATAGGATGGCTATTTCATTCTAGTATGGAACTTCTAAGCAGTACACATTCACGATCCTACACTTGGGACTTGAATTAATGACTTTTAGACTTGACCGTGAATACTGAACCTCTAAACTTTTGAGGTGACATTCAACAGTGTTAATGTTTAACTTTAATCGATTTATGATTTGTAATAGTCTGTTTATTAATGGCTTACTTCAAAATATTGCTAAAGTTTTAATAAGCAGTCTTGGTTAATGGAGTTTGGGCATGTTGAGAATGAAACAGTTATCAGCAGCAGCGTAAGTTGATTGCTACACTGTATAGTGCATTCATTAAAGTATCCTCTTTATCGTTGTAGGCTAAGTAAATAGTTCTTGTAATCAACCATTCACAGTGAAACCTTAGTCTACTGGATTCAATCTCTTCAAGGGATCAACAAGCTATCCATTACTCTCTAGTTTTCAGTTCAAGTCATAATGAATAAAGCTGAAGTCGATTTTATCAACATTGATTGACAGGAATCTAAGAAATCGAACCTAAGACTATACAGTTCACACAGAGACTCCATTACTTTTATCATTGTACATCATCTGTAATCATCTGACAAACTTTCATACAGAATCTAGTAAATAATCGTTATTTTAACACTTATTCACAAATCTTCTATAGTCTCAACGTTGTATCTATTTAAGTTCTAATAAGTCGAACTAAATGATCTTTAAGCAAGGATGGATAGTGTTTAGCAATAATATTCAGGATGCTCGTTCCGTCCGATTTTTTGAACTCGTCAGCTGGATGTACTTGCATCTCATAGTTGATATTCATCCTGGGACTTGAACCCTGTGTCATTCGCTTCAAATGCCATCCACTTAGCAACCAAATCGAATGATCTTTAATTTCTAAGATATTTAATATTTATAAATATGGTAAGATTAAAGAACATAGAAGTATTGGAATAACTCTCAAAATGACAATCAGAAATTGATTACTTTACCAAAAAACGAATCGATTTAAAATGTACATATCATATTAACATAGTTTACTGGTACATGAGATTTGTAATCAATATGATTACATAATATTCGGTCATACTAAAGTCAATATGTGACCCTTATCATAGAATCTAACGATATCCTACTATGGTTTTAAATGATAAACTATTGAATGTGGAACAAATGAAAATCAGATTTAACTTTTTGAGATTGATTGAAGAGTCCACAAATTTGTATTTACATTTCTAATGTAAACGTGAATCAGTTCAATTCAGTAATATGATCACAATGGAAAAAAGAAGCAACTCACTAGATGATTGAAGGTCAAAAAACACATTACGTCGGGAAATAGAAACAGATATAAAAAGAATGAATAGCAATTGGAAATTGCTGGAAAGGATTGCCTAAAACAGGGTTGGATGGAGAGTGCCGGTTGGGCAGCCTATGCTCCTCCACGAGGAGTAACTTGCGTATGTAAGTAAGTAAGCAAGTCACTAGATGATTAATACAAGAATGAAAATCCGAGATTGAATAATCTGATTTGACAATGAAAGTCAGATTACAGGATTAAATAAAGAATCAATACAACTAATCCATTATGATCAGAAGAGGTTTTTTGGAGAATGTAGTAATTTTAATAGTGGAGTTCATGAGTCAATTGAAAGCATAACACAATGGAAAACATGGAAGCATTGGATGACCGTTTCGTCCTATTGTGAGACTCCTCACAATCCCAACCCTCGGGATTCAAACTATTATAATTGATTTTTAAGCCAGTTTTAAATATAAGTTTGAGGTTGTGGAGATTATTATGTTTTAGATTGAGATAATGAAGCAATTGATGTTAGACCACTATTGAAAACTTGGAAGCACTGAACGGCCGTTTCGTTCTATTCCGGAACTCATCAATGGCAGTGCGCATCTATAATCCCGCTTGCAGGATCCGAAATCAGGGCCTTCTGTCTCGCACGCGAACGCCTAACCTTTAGATGCCTGAGTCAGTATCCAACAGTGTTAATGTCTAACTTCAACCAATCCACGAAATCGCGTAACCATCTTCCATTGTACTGGGGCACATACTTGTCTCTACCCGACATAGATTTGCTCCGCCCCCAAATGCCCTGGTACAGCCGAGAGTGGGCAGAGTTCTCTCTCTCTCTCTCCAAATGCTCTCACATAGCCACGTGTATATAGCATCTGCCAGGAAAGTCCTACTCACTGCCTTCTCGCATCACGAGTGTTGTTTACGAAAATGAGAGGACGAAAAGCGAATGTCCGGTACTTTAACCGGATCCTAAACCAATGGTGCACATGGGCTGGCTCCAGTATCCTAAAGGAACAAATGGCGTATGAACCAATCGTTGGTCACGGGCTTCCATGGGATTGCATCTCCTCACGATGCTCCACTGCCTTGTGGGTTAGACCTTTAGGTCGGAGGCTCGGGGTGTGGCCCCCTAAGAAAACCACCTGCTTCGGTCTGGGCACCCGGGCAGTATCACAGCCCTCACATAAATCAAATGAGATTCGTGTGGCGCATATGTATTTGGTCCCTTTTTATACCAATACCTATGTGTTAAAATAAATAAATAAATAGATTTGCTCCACTGGTTACGACGAGACCAAAGGTCCTGGGTTCGAATCCCACAAGCAGGATCGTGGATGCGCACTGCTTACGAGTCCAAGTGCTTCCAGGTTCTTAGTTGTGTTCTTTAACATCAATCAATTCATGAACTCAACCAAAAACAATTTTAATCTTGTGAAAAATTCAATTGTGAGTAGTACTTTTCAGAACGATTTCCTTTTTTTTTTTATATTTATTCCCTTAACTATGTTAGTCAAACTATTGATATCCATCGACCCAATCTATGATTTCTATCAAAGATCAAAACTTGGTTTGTTTATTATTGTATGTATATAAATGTAGTGTAATTTGCTTATAAACATACATACATAGATAAATACATACATACATGCATACATATTACACGTAGAATTGGGATAGAAACATCACATATACCAGGCAAAATGAAATGTATATTAATTCAGTAATGATCTGATCATGAAATGGATGGAATGTTGGTTTTCGATATCATAAAAATACATTAGATTAGTCATATCCTGTTACATGTATACACATACATTCACACCCACCCACACACACACAAAATACTTACATACATACATACATACATACACAAATACACAGATCCTTTGAGAATCGTAGACTTAATGCCAATAGACTATACATATATATATATATATATATATATATATATATATATATACATTCATAGACTAACATATACTTACCGAATTCATAGAAAATAAAAGTCATAGGAAGGACAACAACAACAACAATAACCACAACAACAACAACAACAACGACATCAACTCGTTTACTGATTGGTCAATTTGAGAGTAAGAAAAATAAGAAGAACAAGAAGAACAAGAAGAAGAATAAGAATAAGAATTGATTATAACCAATACCAATTGTGTATTTCACTCGTTTTTTTTTTTATTTTTTTATATTCAATCTAGTCAATATTGAATATTAAATAAATAAACAATTATTTATTTGTAACCATTTCATACAAATAAAAGTGATCAAATTAATTTATTTGACAAAACAAACATTCATATAAGTAACTATCAAATCAAAATAAACATTATATTACAATTGAATATTAGAAACATTAGGTGATCACATGTAAGTCAATGTTATAGTTTGATGAAGAGTAGTTTTGCAAAAATTTTTTTGTTTGTAAATATTAATGTTTAATAATTAAAAGTTTGAGGAGGAGGAGGTGGAGGAGGAGGAGAGGGATTGGGGTTCGAATCCCAACGGATTAGATCATGAATGTACATTATTGAAGAAGTTCATATTAGGACGAAACAACTGATCAATGCTTTTAGGTTTTTTTATAGTGATCTAATTTTAATCAACTTATGAATTCAATTATTGTAATTACTACAATCTCCATAAAATCCCCTTTCTGACTATTGTTGAAAACCTGGATGTATTGAATGACCGTCTGAGATGACTCAACAGTATGTATCCAAGATTGTATACACGTAAGACTTGAATCAAGAACTTTTGGTCAGACACATGAACTCTTAAACGATATTCAACAATGTTAGTATCTAACTTTGTTTTTTGGTAGAAAGGATTGGTATTCATTGATTGTTATTAATAGCTTTAGTCTCTATTATTACGATATTATTAACTATGGATATAAGTTTATGGTTGATGTTTAAATTATATTTCGCTGATGAAAGCTAAGACATATGCTGTTTTTCTATCTAGAATCCATAAATTGCCAATAGCTTGGCTATATTCTAGTATACATCATAGTAGGTGTCTGGACTTTATGACTTAATTACAACCATATTTGAAGTAATAAGTATTGGATTCGATTATAAGTATTTGACATGAACAGTAAGATTCAAGTATATCTAACTAATGAATATCAAATAGGATGACAAATGTAACTAGGACTCCACCTGTACATAACTACTACATTTATTGTAGATTTATGTAAAAAAAAATTGAGAAGACGAAAAGTGAATGTCCGGTGCTTTAGCTGGGTTTATAGACATGTAGAATCTACCTAAGGGAATTGGAAAACCATGATTCCAAACTAATGGTGCACATGATCCTGAGGAAACATATGGCGTATGAACCAATTGCTGGTCACCGGCTACCATAAGATTGCATCTTCTTACGTTGCTATAATGTCTTGTGGATCAAACCTTTGAATTGAAGGCTTTGGGTGTGACTCCCTATGAAAACCAATTGCTTCGATTTGTTCACCTGAGCAGTGTTCCAGAGCTCACACAAATCGAATGATTTGTGTGATGCCTATATATTTGGTGCCTTCTTATACCCTTCAACAAGAAGTATTTTAGACAGTGTTTTATTCAACATAAGCCATATGTATTATGAACATGATTCCTTATTGACTTTGTTATCAATTGTAGAATATTCAATTACTTTAAGAGATTGAATATAGTTTACTTATGTTTTAAACAATTTTTCATATAATCTTAAGAAAGAATTGAATAATTCCATACAGTTGATCTTAACTATTAGTCTCTAAGTACATAATATTGATCGAGAAATTCACATGAACTTAGTTACTGAGTAGTGATCGATGTAAAGTGTATTTAATCTTCTCATCCTCAATTTCAATCTGCTCACTCATAACATCATGAACATGATTAGCTTATAATAGGATAATATAAAGTACCTAACCTTCTGATTAGTTAAATATGATTTATTATTTAAGAAAAACTAACATAGGAGAGGTGGAAATGTTTTCTATCATATTCATCTTTGATATCCATACATAATTCATGTAAGGTGTATAAATTCCAGAGCTAGAATTCACTGAAGTATCTGTTTCACGTCAATCAATTTTATACTATAGGAAATGAAGAATTGTCACATTATATAGTGATTTGATTACAATTCAATGTATACACTACTCAGTTGTTGCTTAGTGGTTTAAAGTTCAACCTTTCACATCTGTGACTGAAGATGCTGAATTCAGTTCCTGATGGACTTGTGAGTGTTTACAGCTAGATAGTCTTATAGTAAAACGAAACTACAATTCAATGGTTCTTGGTTTTCAGTTACATCTTATATATAGAATAAAGAACGACTTCTAAAGCATCCTATAGATTAAAAAAAAACTAAAACTTTGGAAAATATTAGGGGATCTACTAGTTTTTCGAACCTTTTTATTCGTCTAATGCAAATAAATCTTATTGATAATTAATAGGTATCTAGTGAATACGTTTTTAGATTATGCAGCTTTATCAGAAACAAATAACCGATGAAAATAAGACCAATCATTTCTTCTTCTTCTTATTTGTTTATTTATTTGAACACATAAATATCGGCTGTAATACTGACAGGGTGCTCAAACCGAAGTAGGTGGTTTCCTTAGGGGGCCATACCTGAAGGCTTTAACCTAAAGGTTTGATCCACAAGGTAGTGGAGCAACATAGGGAGATGTAGTCTCATGGTATCCGGTGATTAACAATTAGTTCATACACCGTTTGTTCCTTCGAGATCCTGGAGCCTATGTACACTATTAGGTTTGGAATCATAGTTTCTTAACTCTCCTAGCTGAACCTTCCATGTCCACTAACCTGGTTAAAGCACCTAACATTCACTTTTCATCCTCTTAATTTCGTAAACAACACCCCCACCATACATGAAAAGGTAGTGACTAAGACTTCCCTGACAGAATGACTGTATATTTATAACTATATGAGAGCATTTCAAGAGAGAAAACAAACTTTTCCCATCTTCGTCCATACCAGGATATTTTGAAGACATATCATATTAATCTTTCACTGAACTCTTTTTTCATTTTAACAATCTATAATACTAATTAACGTTAACTTTAATTTATCTCATTCAACTTCACATTGCTATTCATCAAAGTATATTGAACAATGAACACTTCTTTTTCTTCTTTTTTTTTCTTATTTTTTGTCTCATATTTTCTAATTGTTCCTTTTCTCTATAAAACCATAGAAAAGAGAAAAAGAAAAAAGAAAATAAATAAAAGAACATCTTTTAAAAAAAGAAAAAAAAAGAAAAAGTTCCTCCTTTATCATTTTCTTTATTTTATTTAAAGGGGTGTGATTTTCATTGTGAATATATATGATTCATCATTTACATTATTGTAAATGTAAAATTACACCCAAGAAAAACAAAGTGTTTTTTGTCAATGAATATTCAATAGCGAGCGAGCGAGCGAGCGAGAGAGAGGTGGAGAGAGAGAGAGAGGGGTGGATAGGGAGATTGAGTTCATTTAAAGTGATGAACATTGATAACTTATGTTTATTTAGTTTTATGACTCATTTTTTGTTATTTTTTTAATTAGATTTAGTTTTCATGACTTAGTAGTTAAGTGGATGAGATGATCAAGTTTAAAAGTGAACGGTATTGGGTTCGAGTTCAACTCTGATGAGTTCAAAAAATAGGACGAAACGCGTATCCTAGACTTCACTGTTAGCTACTATACATCTTTGTTTAGAATATTTATGACTAGATGTATTATCAAGTCAATCCATACAGTATGCATATATTGCCAATAAGAGACTAATCAAATATAGTCGTAAACATTAATGGGAAGATTCAAGTAAACAATATGAAGTGAATTTAAATTTCACCTCATTGCACAAGCAAGTGGCTATCACGAATCACTAACTAAGTGGATAACGCAATGGCATTTGAAATGAACGATACTGAGTTTGAGTCCCACAGTCAATATCAACTCTAAGATATAGGTACATCCCGCTGACGAGTCCAAAATTAGGATGAAACGTGTATCGAGGTAATCTCTACAGGATTCCTATATGCCGATTATAGTCTTAAACATCAATGGATAGTTTCAAATAAACAATACCAAATGAATTTATATATATTATAGTTATAGTTAATGTACATAATCATATATTAAAATAAGGTTAACAATCTAATTGAAGTGTTTACAATCATCTCTTATCTATTCTATTTAATTTCCTGTATACATATACATATACATTTCTCATTATTCTAATATGAATTATTCACTATTAAGCCCTTGATTTGACATAATATTCACTCTTAAATACTAATAAGTAGTATATTAATATAATAAATTGATAAGAATAATGATTTAGTATTATAATCAATAAATGATTGTACATGATTATAATGATTATGACTAGGGTTCAAGTATACTTTAGAGATAGAAACACTTGAAATTATATTCATTTATTTAATGGTTAAAAGTTAGATATAAGTTAATATTCTAAAATGTAATTAAGATGTAAATAGATTTTTTCAATGAACAAAGATGGATAGTGGCTAACAGTGAAATCGAGGACGTATGTTTCGCCCTACGTGGGACTCGTCAGCTGGATGTACCTGCATCTCAAAGTTGATGTTCACTCTGGAACTCAGACCTAGTACCATTCGCTTCAAACGCCATCACGTTATCCACTCAACTACTGAGTACCGGTAGCCATTTGCTTGTGCAATGGGGTGAAGTTTAATTCATTTGATGTTTAGGACTGCAATTGATCAGTCTGTTTTTTGGCATATGTGCATACTGTGAGTATTGCCTCGATATTGCTTTAATTTTCATCAATGGGAAGATTCAAGTAAAACAATAAAAATTGAATTAATCTTTTCAATTGTTGTCTAAGACAGAATTTATGAATGATCTTTAAATGGGACTAGACTGACTTTAAGAATGTCCACCTACTTACTAGAGTTAAATGAGATTCATAAACTTATATAAAGACTAAGAATTATGATTTATAGTTGACATCATTTGTAATATAAAAATGGTATTGTATCACATGGATCAATCAACTTCGAGCCAAAATCTGAGATCTGTTATATTTTACAACAGATAAACAGTTTATTATGAAATATCTCAAAGCTTAAGTGAAACAGATCCAGTCATATAATATGTATTATGATGTTGTTAATACAAATCATTAATAGTTGAGATCATGAGTCAATTGAAGCTAGACAACCATGGAAAATCTGGAAGCACTGAACGATTGTTTCGTCCTATTGTGGGACTCCTCAGAATTGCGCATCCACGACCTCGCCTCGCGAGATATTGAACCCAGGATATATCAGTGTTGCGCGCGAACATTTAACCATTAGACCAATGAGCCGATATCTAACGGTGTTAA